AGAAAAACCTTCATAATTCCAGGGAGATATTTCAGCACTGGGGGAGCTTAGGCTTTCACATTCTTTCTCCTTCATGCGCCTACATCATCTGTTTATGTGCCCATACTCAGGCCTGCTGTCTCTGCCACACTACATCACACCTCTGAGTCAAAAGAGCCATCTGTATTATCTTAGAAATAATGCCAGGTGCAAGAGGGCACTTCAGGGACTCCAGAAAGGTCAAACAACTGTGTCCAAGAAGAATTATTGTTTATCATCTTCTTCTCCTTTGCAGGTTGCCACCCACACGAAGTCTGCTTCTAAGTCACAATGTGCTCCTAAAAGGGGGGCATTTTCACCACTGTGCATACCTGTATTTCTATGCAAATGTCACATTAACTATCAACCTGACAAATTAATAAAAGTAAACATTCTTAGATCAGGGATTTAGCTCAGTGGCTTAAGTGCCTGTCTGGCAAGCAAGTGGTCATGAATTCAATTCCCAGTAACTAGAAAAACAAAAACAAAAACAAAAAAAGTAAAAACCATTCTTCCCAGGTCCAACCCTCCACTAATACAGTTTTTCAGAGACCCTCTAACCAAGAGAGCTGGCATGTTGGTACCTTTCATTAGACACATGAAGAAAAGTAAAAAGCTTATAAGCACTACTGTAATCATTAGTTTGTTCAAAGTAATGATGTTATTCTATTTCTAAACATATGCTAGGTCTTAATTCTTTGGTATAAATTGTAAGCAGGTTTTTCATTATCCATGGACTCTATCTCTTCATTATAAATTGGGAACAAAACTATGAATGTTTTTGGCACAATAAAGGAGCAGAATATAATAGTAAAAGTGGCCTTTATTCTAAGGACACGGAGAAGAGCCCACAACCAAAGGCAGTCTGGCTTTCTTTGACCAGAATATGGGGTATGGGATATATGTAACCTTTGACCTGGGGTGGTGCTTAGGGAAGGGCATTGATGATAACTGAGTTGATTGGAATTTTCATCCTGTGCACTAGGAAAGGAAAAAGGATGTTGTAATAGGGGAAGGAGGAAGTGACCTCAGGGTAAACATCCCCTGATTTGGCCTTCCACTGACATGATGTCTTGTAATTTATTCTAGGGCAAAACTCTTTCAAAAACAGCAGCTTTATTAATTTGGCAAATGGGCTTCCAGGTTTCTGTTGTTGTTTCAGGCATTCCTGTGACACAGATTGTTTCTACACAGGAATTACAGAGATGAGACTGCCAGATGTCTTACAAAGATGTGGGATTTCCTCAAAAGCCTTTTCCCAAGAGATAGAGGGCATTAATAATGAGACAGGATTCAAGATGATGGCTCCCATAAATGATTGGGAGACAGTTACTTCCAAATGGAGGAGTCATGCAGAGTCGTAGGGTGGGTAATTTCAGTTCACCAGAGAAGAGAGTGTCTTACCCCAGTACATGCGGATGGGAGGCTCTGGAAAGTGGAGTGATACAAGAACCACAGCAGGCCTGTGCAGTGCCTCAGTACACCGTCACAGCTGTCAATCACTGCAGGCTCTGAGAGGAACTTGGGCATACATGGTTCCTCCGACTTACAACTAAGAACAATCAGGGACATAGAACCTCCATTTGAGAGGAGCAGTTTCAGACAAAGAGGAAACGGAGTTAAGGGACTTGTCACATGTGCAGATCAGCTCTGGAAAGTAAACTAGTATGAGCATCTACTCCAAGGGACACTGAGATCAAGCCTAAAGAACTGCGCAGTTTTTATGTTTCCTTGCAGGGAAGTATCATATGTGTAATGATTCTCTTGAAAATGTGAATGAACATAATTTTCTAAAAATCTAAACATAAAAGAAGTGAGCAACATAAAGTAGAAAGTCCATTTGAACCAATTACTGTCCTTCTATCTATCCTTCCAAAGCAGTTAAAAAATTGTATTCCAATCATACACTTATACTCACGTTTATAGCATCACAATTTACAATTGCTAAATACTGGAAGCAGCCAATATCTCCTTGAACACACAAACAAATAAAGGAAATGTGGAACCTATACATAATGAGATACTATTCAACTATAAAGAGGAGTAAATTTGAGTCATTTGTAGAAAATGGATGCAATCTGAAAATATAATGTTAACTAAAATAAATCCGATGCATAGTTTAAACACTACCTGAGTTCTTCCATATCAGAAAATTATACATGAAACATAGAGCAAAATGAAAGAGAGAAAGAGGGAAGGTAGAAGATAGATATTTGTCAAAAAGATGGGGAATAAGAGATGGAGGTTGGGAGAGAAGAGGAGGTGATGGATACATGGAAAGAATTGGGATCAGTTATGTATGTGCACCAACCACCCACAGAGAAGGTAATCATTGTATTGTTACAGAGAAGAGGAAAAATTAGAAAGGAGAAGGAATTAAAAATATTAAAATGAGCTAAATACATGTACCTACTGACTAAAGTGCATGCAGATATTATAAACTGAAATCATTAAACAACATTAAAGAAGAAAAGGCTACACAGTTGCACGTTGTTGGATATGTTTCATTTCAGTATTTCTGATAAATTGAAAAATTGTATGTGCATTCTATAGATAATACATAACAATAAAAAGCATTCAATAAAAAGCATTAAATCTTACATTGTTAAATCTCATATTCTTTACTTGAAGCAGAAGATTTGTGAGGCACGCATTACTTCCCCAGCATCGAGAGAGAGAGAGAGAGAGAGAGAGAGAGAGAGAGAGAGAGAGAGAGAGAGAGAGAGAGACAGGTGTACATGCTTTGAGGACCAGGAGTAGATCCTTTTCATAGCAAGTCTACAGTTCCACTCTAGGGACAAAGGAAGTGGTGGGCAATGTTTGGAGGCTGATGGGCTCTGTTAATTTCCAACAATAACACCAGCTTTCACGGAATACTTGTGCTCATGTGAAGCATTGGGCAGAGCCATCTGGATGAGGTGTTTGTTTGGATCTGCAAGTTGTGAGAAAGCAAAGTACCAGGAGCTAGTAAATAAGACTGAGCTCTGTGGGCTGGACTTTGGGTAAAAATAGTGCCAGGGTGATACCCTATACCCTGTTGAAAGGACCTGTCCACAAATATGGAGGCTCACAAATTCCTGCCTCTGCTGCAGTCTTGTGACAGTCAGGTAGGTGGAACCCTGTGGGTATTCATGGATTTCCTCCTCTGTGGTAGATTTAGGTGTGGGTGTGGCTTGGGTGCTCAGTCACTTCTGAGAGTAGGAGGAGGAATCCGGGTTGTGCTCTAACATTTAAACACTGACTTCAGGGCAGTGAAGTCCCCTAAGGACTTGTCCCTGATAATAGCATTGGAGAATCCTGGGGTTTGTAATAAGGAAGAGGATCTTCTTTGTTTATACTCCAAAAGCAACTACAACATTGTGACAAACTCAGTGTCGGCTCTACAGAGGGAAAATCGCCAGGATTCTTCAGCATTAAAGGTAAGGTTCCTGAATGTGCACAATAGTGAGGGATCATTCTCTTCACATTATGAATTCAGCTCCCCAAACTTTTGCCTCTCTGTCAACCCCAAGGACTTCTGGGCCAATCCTGCAATGTTAGAACCACCTGTCCTATCTGCCATTTGGATTTAGAGAGTATTTGATATGGCCTTATGGTATCCAAAAAGGAAGAGGCCCAGTAACAGACAGTAAATTTTAACCCTATAAGGAGAAAAGAGAGGCACTATATATTTTTATCAAAATTGTAGTCCACACAGAACAGTGCCCCAACTGTCACGTATATGATTGAGTGTTCAAACTCTGGAGAATACGACAATAGAGCCTGGTATAGCAAGTGTCACATCTTCCAACTAATATTCAAGGATGGTGTCCTGACATCCGGAAAGGAGTGCCCTGCGGGCCTCAAGGGAGTCAAAGTATATATCCAGAGTGAGGACTGCAGGTATCACTTCCTCAATCCTCTATAGAATGATCCATAAACTATTTAGCTCCTTCCCGGCCTACAGTCTTTGAGTTTCCAGAGCTCAGTTTTCAACTGAGTATTTTGGCCTTGTACTCTATTAAATCCAATTAAAGGGAACATCAGGTTTTTATGGTGCCGCACCAGTAAGCAGACAGGAGCGTCATCTATAGTAGATGTAGACTAGTTGAGGTTTCTGTGTGAGGTTTGGGGACCAATGGACCCCGTCTAGAGGGAGCACCATGAAACTGTCAGCAATGCCTCTTTGTCAAAGTAAGGGCAAGAGAAATACATGCAAGTTTTTCATGATACGATGTTACTTTGAGCAGTTAGCCTCAGTGTAGTGCAAATCGTATTCTACAGGCGGTGCCAAGTATATCTGTAAACCTACTCAGTTCAAATTTGAGGACACTGGAACACAGAAGGACAGCATATGGGCAGTACTTCTTTTCAGAATGGGAGCCCAAGAGAAGGGCGAAGCCTGAGAAATGAGATTACCACACTCTTTGGTTTCTACTTACAAGAGGTGAAGATAAAACCCACCAAGGAGTTAGGCCCATGGACAGGGACTTCCCAAAATTCTAATGAATTTTCCTGCTGCAAGCACTCACAGGATCTCATTCTCCCTCCTCCAGGTTCCAGCAACACCTGCTCTCCAGCTGACAGTCCTACCTGCTGTTCCTGAACTCAGTCGTCATGCCCCGGGGACATAAGAGTAAGCTGCGTGCTCAAGAGAAACGCCGCCAAGTCTGAAGTGAGACCCAGCATCTCCTGGAAGCTCAGGCTCCCGGGGCACAGGAGGGAGAGTCCCCCTGTGGCTCTCCTCTGGCTGGAGATGCTGCTTCAATCTCCCCTGCTGCTGGGCAGCAAGCATCTCTACCCACCACTAATGCCCCTGGAGTTGCTACACACAAAAGATCTGGTAAAGGTGCCAAGAGCAGAAGAGAGGAAACAGCGACTCCCGCTATGGCCCCAGTCCCCAAGAAGAGCTCAGAAAAAGAGATCCTAATGAAGAAAGCAGGAATGTTGATGCATTACCTGCTCTACAAGTACGAAATGAATGAGAAGGCAGTAAGGCTGAAATGCTGAAGATTCTTCACAAAGGTTTTCGACAACACTTCCCTGAGATCCTGAAGATGATCTCTGAGTGGGCAGAGCAGTTCTTTGGCCTTGAGCTGAAGGAAGTCAAGCGTTGTTGGGGAACCTACACTATTGTCAAAAACTTAGATGACTCCCACTGTGGCAGCTCTATCAGTGACTTGGATATCCCCATGAATGGGCTTCTGATGCCTCTTCTTGGGGTGATTTTCTTAAATGGGAAGTCTGTTTCTGAAGATGAGGTCTGGGAATTCCTGAAAATGATAGCAATCTATGGCAGGAATAAATGCATAATCTTTGGTGAGCCATGCAAGTTCATCACCAAAGATTTGGTGCAGAAGAACTATCTTGTGTACCGCAAAGTGCTTCACAGTGATCCTCCACGCTTTGAATATCTGTGGGGTCCAAGAGCACACACTGAAATAAGCAAGATGAAAGTCCTTGAGTTTTTGGCAAAGGTTAATGAAACCATCCCTAGTGCCTTCCCATTACATTATGCACAGGTTTTGAGAGAAGAGGGGAGGACCCAAGCCAAAGTCAGTGATTGCAGTGCTTCTTGTATCCCTCACCCCCGGGAAACTTCCAATACATCTACACTCATGTAAGGTGGGAGTCTGAAACATCACTTCATTTTGGAAAAAGCTTTCTTACCTTATAAATTGTTAGATGTTAACATGGAGTTAGAGATGTCATTGCATAGTCCTGTGTGCTGTTGTAAGTTAGCATCTGTCAAATAAATTCCTTGAAAGAATATTTCTTTACATTCAAAACCATGGCTATGAGTAACATACGTCACACTTCTATTGTTGGCTTTTGATTGCAATGCATAGTGCTAGTTTTCTGTAATAATTTTTAGCAGCTTTTGATTATCTTTAGTTTTCAGAGTGAAATCATGGTTATGAAATGGAGACATGATTTGGAAATATCTAAGAACCTCATAAAATGTAATAGAGTAAATCAAGGCTTGCCATAGTCAAATGTTGCTCGAAATTATTCTCTCTCTCTTTTAATTTTTGTGAAATTTGAAGACATATATCTGATTTCCTTAAATGATTGAAAAATGCTAATAAAATGAATTAATAATAAATTATATTTGTTGCTTTATGGCTCCATTTTTCTACCCCTTAATCAAGTAGCTCCATCTTGGAAAGTTGTATACTTATAGAAATGACATAAGATAAAAAGGAGTCTTCCTCTGCTCTTAGATGTTTTGAGTCTAACAGGAGTTAAAGAAGATGATGGGTACACCCTGAGCCGGAACAAATAAAAATAGAAGTCAGACTGTACGGGCTGGAGGGGATGGAGAGGAAGGCAGCCAAGTGTAAATTCCCTGAGCTGAGCTGGATCACTTTGTGACTTTGGTTACTGCAGTCCCTTCTTGGATAAAGAAGTTTATTGAGAACAGCAGAAGTATGGCAGCGCTTTCTCAGCGCTCTTGTACATGGTGCATAAACCAGTGTCCCTACAATTAAGAGCTTGTACGAGAATTGAGGTGGGGGGTGCTTTTCTCTCTTGACAGAATTTGCCAACAAGCCACTGTCTTGGCACTGTTTTCCCTGAGCTGAGAGATTCTGAGTGTGTTCTGTAGATTATGTTGTCTTCTGTGCCGTGTGGGAAAGCACTCAGTAGGACTAGAGGTTGCTAATGAAAGAAATGAAAATGCAGTCTATCAGGAAATAAGGGCAATTACTGGACTTTCTCATAAGGGCTAAACACATTCAATAGAATCCCGGTGAAGTCCCTGACCTCCTGTTAACAGTGAACATTATCTACATTTATATCCAGATTAGAGTAATAATTATCTCTCCTGAGCCAGCAGGATTCATGGCGTTTTCATGTTTCCCCTAGTTACCACTGCTTCCAAAAGAATGGTCTCCATACCACCACAGATGTGTCTGTCAGCAGCACGGCAGTCTAGCATGACTTTTTCTTCTTCTAGGCTTTGGTTCATGCTTGGCCAGCACAAACATATTCATAAATGAAACATATAAGTTGCTCTTGTTATTGCCTTCACCTAAATTTGAAGAAGTTGAGTTGCCTGAAAACTGTTATGGCTAATTTTTCAAATCTCTTTGTACATAATGACAATATCACTTCATCCTTTCACTAATGAGACATATTGCTATTTATAAATGTTTTATGTTTTACACAAAAATTTGTATTTATTTCACCTGTTTTTGGTACCTTCGCACATTTAATAATATTCATTTTTTTTCTCAAAATGGCAGGCCCTAAAAGATGGAGCAATGGGACAGGGAGCTTAGCTATAAAGAATGAAAACAAAAAATTAGGATGAGTTATGTACATGTAGCAACTCAACACAAGAGAAGTGTACATTATATATGGAAAACATGTATGAAGTAAAGGGAGGGTTCCAAGCATGAGTGGAAAGAGCAGAAAGAAAAGGGAAAAACAAAGAATAAAAGAATTAATACATGTTATATACTTGTGCCAATTTCCCACAAGAAATAATAACATTATGTATTACATGACATAACAAAAAACTTAAAAAATAAAATAACAAAGAAATAAACAAAAATTATGAATTCTATATTATCTATGGTTAAAATATTCCATGGCTTTTAACTTTTCTTACCTTAAAATGTATTTCAGAGGGGCTGGGGATTTAGCTCAGTGGCATAAGCACCTGCCTTGCAAGCAGGCAGTCGTGAGTTCAATCCCTGGTACCGATAAAAAGGAAAAAGACAAAAAAAAAAAGAAAAAAATCTATTTCAGAATGTATTCATATTATGGAAATGAGCGAGAGGAGAAAAGAATCGAGGCTAAAAGGATTGAAAATAAACAACATGTATTACATGTATGCACCCATTCCCCAAAACAGCATTGCTCAGAACTGCAATGAGCATTGTTTGGAACTGCACCCAGACAAGGATAATCTGTAAAACTCTACAGAACTACATCCATTAACATTAATTCATAAAACAGTATTAGTGTTTAAGATGCTTAACCCAGGGTATCAAAATTTTTCTTAGGTTTAATTTCTCTTACCCCATTTGTGCAGGATGAATAAAGTGCTTCAGTAGACTGACAAACTGCTCTTTGGTGATACAAAATAGCTAAGAAATAAAGAAGGGAAAAACTCACGATACACTTGCTATAAGGACAGATCTGTACTGAAAGATAACTCTTAATGTACTATAATAAATTTTAGAAATTCTGATTATCTCTTTTGATAGTAAGGAAGAAGCATTAGAATTTTGGAAGTGCTGTGCAGTCAAATTATCTTTATGTAGCTTTTAAATTTTGAACTCATTTTAACTTAATTTTTATAATATTGAATTTTGTATATGTGTTGCTGAAGTGAGCACTCCAAGATAGAACTTTGTCATAACTACTACTATATAAAATGCTTCATTTTAAGTTACACAAATATTGTAAACTCACGATTAGGTATGTACATTTTGGGTCAGTTGGACATGCTTAATTCTACATTCAGACATATTTTGGAATTTTGCCTTACATCTTTGAATTTTGATACATATATGGCACATTTACTGCTGGATTCTGTTGTCCTGAACTATGTAAAATGACAGTCTGTCTCACTTTCATTGATTAGAATTAATAACATAAATCTCAATTATGTGCTGAGATAAAATATATTTTCAAGTTCAAACATATTATGAAATAAATAAATTGTGGGGGATGGCCTGGGAATCTAAACAATCTTTATTATTACTTCCCAACAGTTAATAGTACCCACAGTATTAAACAAAACCATCACATAATTAAACGTATAAAGTAAAAGGTATTTGTTAAGTGAAATCTGCTTGTACTAAATGGAAAAATTTGAAATTGAAAAATTTTGTTAATGTAAATAGAGAATTAAGGCAACATAATTCAATCAACATTTATATCTCCCTTTACACTGGAAACATTACTCTGAAAAAGGAGATTAAAGAGGGTATAAAAAAATGGAAACACATCCACTGTTGTTGGGAAAGTAGAAGTAACATTGGGAAAAAGGCCATAGCTCCAAAACTTTTACACAGATTTAATACGATCTCAATCAAAACAGCAACAGCATACTTCACGGAACTAAGTAAAATAATCCTAAAATTCATTTGGAGCCGGAAGAGACCTACAATGGCGAAAGAATACTGAGCAACAAAGTCAAGACAGGCAGCATCACAGTCCCTGACTTGAAATTATACTACAAAGTTACCATCACAAAGACAGCACAGTACTAAGAAATGGAAAATAAAAAACAGACTCAAAGATCAATGGAACAGAATAGAAGATAAAAAACCAGCTCCAATCATCCTGAGACACTTGATCTTTGATAAAAAAGACCAAACAATTTCATTGGAAGAAAGACAGGCTCTTTAATAAACATGAAGATTAAAACTAAATCCATACCTTTCACCATGCACTAAACTAAAATTGAAATGGATCAAAGATATAAATATTACAACAGAAAGAATCTGTTGTATGATACAATCCATAGAACTCCTAAAGACACAGGTGTAGACAAAGATTTTTACGAACAAAAATCCAATCACACAGGAAATATTACAAATAATGAAAAACTGAGATTTCATTTTATTAAAATTTTTTGTGCTTCAAAGGAAACCACAAATGGATTGAAGAGAAAACCCACAGTGGGAAATATATTTGCCAGCTGCTCCTTATAAAAAGACTACTACACAGAATATATAAAGAATGCAAAAAAAAGACCCTCTAAATTTAAATACTCAATCCAAAAATGAGCAGCTGAAATGAATACATAGTTGTCACATAAAGAAATACAAATAGAAATAAATATATGATAAAATGTTTAACATCACTGGTGTTTCAAGAAGTGCAAATTAGGGGGCTGGGGATTTAGCTCAGCGGCATAAGTGCCTGCCTTTCAAGCAGGCAGTCATGAGTTCAATCCCTGGTACCCATAAAAACGAAAAAGACAAAAAAATAAGTGCAAATTAAAACAATAGTGAGATTCCATCAAGAAATCAAGCAAAGTCAAATGATGGTGGAGCTATGAGAAAAATAAACTTTTCCCCACTATTCATGGGAATGTAAACTGGGACAATCACTAATGAAATTTTTATAAATATTCCTCAAAAATCCAAAACTAGAGGTGTCATTTGACCCAAGTAGTCTCCTTCTTGGTATCTTTCCAAAAGAGTTAAAAGTCATACTATAAAGACATATCCAGACCCATTATTATAGAAGCACAACTAATAATAGTTAAATCTTGAAAACAGCACAGATTCCCATAAAAACATGCATGGTCAAAGAATATTTAATTTTTACAATGAAGTAATACTCATCCACAAAGAAGTATAAATTCCAGACATTTTTAGATAAATGTATGCAAGTTGAGACCATACATTTTTGTGTAATAAAGGTAGTGTCTTTAAATATCACATTATATCTCTTCTGTGAAATTGAAAAGATAAAGAAGGACCAAATGTATGATAAATAGTGGGAAGTACAAAAATAACTGGGAAGGGGAGCAAGGGAGGAAGAGGGAGAAGGAAATAAAGGCAAACAAAACAGAGAATAGAAAGGAAAAATGGAAACAAAGCTTTTGTAAATAAAGAAGGGAAGAAGGTTGAGAGGTGGTGAGAGGAATGGAGACAAC